CTTATTTTGTTTCTTAGTTTGTTATTTTCGTCTAATAACTCATGAATTTTTTGTACATTTGAGTTCACTTGTTTCTGATTTATTTTATATCATAAACTGATTGATTATGTTTAGCTTGTTCTAATCACGGTTTGAATTTTTGCATTACAAGTTGGATGAAACCTGATCGCCTCGAGTCATTCCCAAATCCAAGTCCGAAGGGACTAACATACTGACCAGGAGGATGACATACATATATATAAGTGCTGAATATACAGGCGGAAAGGGGCTGATATACAGTCGTATACATCTTATATACACAAGATGTATACACTTCGAAAATGGGCTAAAAGGCCCAAAACGTGGCAGCGACCAAATTCCATGGGCAGAGAGGATTTGGTTCATTATTTCCTTTAATTGTCCGATTATTTTTGCTTACAAATTGTTTGTTTTGATCGTTGTGTTAACCTTAACTTTAAATAACTTAATTGAATCCCCTAAAAGATGAACTAATTTCTTTTGTGTTGGTTTATTTGATTTTATCAATTCTTGTCTTTAGTTCAATTAAATCTTTGGTCAAATCGTAGCTATTTTTAATTGGTCAAATTATTTCAAGACATCTTTATTTCTAAAATGATTCAAAAGCCTTTTTCTTACTTAGTCATTTTGGCTAAAATTTTATTCGCTTTCAAATTATTTTAAAAAGTGTATTTGTCAAAAGATTCAAATGTTTTCATTTTCTCAAAAAAAATTAGTCAAACATTTTTAGTCAAGTCGTCGGATAACCGCATGTTGGCAGCTACTTTAAGTGCTAATACCTTCTTAAAGTAGAAATAAGAACCTTTTACCCATTTTCTCTTAAATTTTTAAAGGTTTATCTGTTAGAGTTTTTTTTAAATTAAGTTTTCTTAATTTATTTTAAAAAATTAAGTGACGATTCTTTTTCTAAGTATTTTTCTTAAATTGTTCTATAGGAATGTAATATCGCGACATAACAAATATGTCAACAATGCCAAACTTGAAATTTGATCTACACATGTTATCATCCATACCCTTCTAATTAATTGATGATTGCCCTTATTCTTTCTTCACCCTTGTTAGAAAAAGTATGACAATATCAACCAAGAACTTTTTTTTAACGGAAAACTAAGTCTATGTCCCATAGGAGCAAAATAATTACAAACAAATACCCCATTTACAATTTATACCCCAAAATTATCATGTTGGGAAATGATCTCCTCTACAATTACAATCCTTCCCAAATTCTCCTATTCCCCAGTTCTCCTTCTTCCTCAATTCTTCTTCTTCACCGGTTCTCCTTCCCAATTCCCCCTCTTCCCTAGTTCTCATTCTTCCCTAGTTCTCATTCTTCCCTAAAAAAAATTTCATCCAATTCAAATCAACACTCGATTCCCTCCTTCTTCCCCAATTTTATGTATAAATTTTGAATTAAAAAAACGAAAAGCTACGTGATACAATCTGAGTTCATTTATTTGTAATATTCTCACGTAGAAAACTTAGTTGATATATTATCATAATATTGAAGTAGTATAATTGAGGAACAACCACTATTTCACAAAGCTAATCATCAATCCATAATGTGAAACTTCTAAATCTTCAATGATACCATAACTTATATGACATACTGTTATAGTATCATTGAGGAACAACTAGACATTCATGAAAATTGCACAAATACTGAATGATACCATCATAGTATATATATACATTGTGATGGTATCACAAAGGGTTTTCTAAGTCATTCAATGGTAGATGAATGATACTATCACAATATATTCATATATTATCATGATATTAAAATGATATAATTGAGGAACAACCATTATTTCAACAAGTCAATCATCAATCCTTAATGAGGGACCTTTGAAATCTTTAATGATACCATAACAATTTATTGCATAACATAAAATTGCACAAATAATGAATGATAC